GGCTCAGGTCATGATCCTAGAGTCCTGGGATCGAGTCCTGCATTGGGCTCCTTGCTCAACGGGGAGCCTGCTTCTCCCCCTGCTTGTGCTCTCTCTGACAAATAAATAAAATCTTAAAAACAAAACCAAAAAATCTCTGTCCTCCAGGAAGCACAGGGGTAGGAGTAGGGGTAATAGAAGCAGCAACTTAAATGCAACAATAGAGTAGGATATTGATTGATTTCAAGGATCCATGGAAATCTGGAAAGGTCTCACAGAGAGAGAATTCAAGGGCCTTAAGAAAGGTCTTTGGGGTGGAGTTGAGGGGAACAATATGAACAAGGACTTGGCCAGGAAAATGAGGAGGGTGTCAGGGGAAACATTTCAGTGGTGGGTAGAAGGAGACAAGGCTGGGAATATAGACTGGGGCCATATCAGGGTAGGCCCTCAATAACAGGAGAAAAGGAATGAATTTACCCGATAGGCAGTGGGAGCCATTGGTATTTGTTGAGGAAGAAAGTGAAAATTTAATCTTTATTTAAAAAAATATTATACATGTACCAATTTATAAACACATGGTGGGGATATATACTGTTTTCTTTCTTTTTTTAAAAGATTTTATTTATTTGACAGAGAGAGACACAGCGAGAGAGGGAACACAAGCAGGGGGAGTGGGAGAGGGAGAAGCAGGCCTCCCGCTGAGCAGGGAGCCCGATGCGGGGCTCGATCCCAGGACCCTGGGATCATGACCTGAGCCAAAGGCAGATGCCTAACGACTGAGCCACCCAGGCGCCCCTGTATCCTCATTTTAAATAAGTATCATATGTTATTTCTTTTAGCAATTGGCCACTCTTTGAAATTTTCCTAAAATCAATTATATATTGAGCAATCTATTGCTCCAAATTATGAGAACACTGGTGTTTTCTGCTTATACCATTTTTAGGTAGAAAGCCCCACATTTAATTGTTAAATGAAATAAACCCAAAGTAAATACAATGTAAAAAACACATTTTAATCCAAAAGTTTGAATATTGGCACTTAGCTATTTACAACGGTATTTACAACCAATTTTACAGTAACATTTGTGGAGAGAACTATGAACACAGAACTATCTACAGTTGCTTCCTTCTAACATACAAACCATAGCTGTGCAGGAAAATGTTAACAGTTAAAACTGCTACAACTCAAAATCATTATGATTAAATTAGGTTCTGACAAATTTTCCTGGGGTTGAAAAATGCTGGTTAAGTCAGGATAGAAGAGGTGCGTGTGTGCAATCCCCACGTCTTCCCATTTCCACATTATTGTTCCCTCCCTTAGCTGGCCTGCACTTGAGTAGAACCTATACCTGAATTCTGACAATTCAGGGCGTCTAAGACTTTATTTTAGGCCTGTAACTATGAGTCCACAGCAGATGGTTTAATTCTAAGTAGAACTGTTTTTTGATATTAATGCATATGACCTATAAGTCATTTTTATGACTGCCCAGTGGTTGTTTTAATGGTAGTCAAGAAACTACCAAGGGGGATGCCTGAACACGACGTGATTCCTGTGTGCACTTCATGAAGCGGTCTGCACTGTAAAATTTTATGGTTTGATTGGGAGCCTCACCTTGAGTGAGAAGGGAGATGAAAACAATGACAACAAAATAATTCTGAATCTGTTTGCTACAGAACGAAGTTTGAAAAAGCTCAGGCTAATAGAATCATCCACCAATCACTTTCCTTAAGGTTAAACAGTCTATCTAGCATTTTCTAGATGAAGAAATAAAGCTTGTGTAACTTTGTGATAGACACAGTTGGTTAGCTACATTTTATTTGATTAAGCCCTTGGTCAGAAATCCAAACCTTAATTAATATTTTGTTCTAGCAGAAAAATACAATCCATTGATTGTAATGAGTTTCTAGAAATAAATCATGGAGAAAAAAATAGATACTACCTGTTCCTACTGGTCTCCTTGGAAATTGCAGCCTTTGCCTGGGAAGATACATATATAGAATATATTTAATTTCAAAATATATTTAGTTCCTTGCTATCCCTTTTAAATTTCCAAGTGACTGGTAATAAACAAGCTAATGATTACTGGGTAGTTAAGGAAAAATTTCTAGTCACCTTTCCATCTAAGAATTTCATGAAAGAAACACGCGGCATGTCTTAGAGGAGTATGAATACAAGATGAGTGGAAATAAGTTTCACTTTCTAAACTACAAATGGTTGGCAACTGTTTCCTTAATAGTGATTGCAGGAGTAGGTCCAACATGAGTCCATATGTAGCCCTTCTCTGGTCTGGTCGGAACTGTGGGAAATGGCGACGAACGTGACTTGAAATATTCAGAAGGTGCGTGACACACAAATTCCAAGTATTCCATTTTCCTTGGAAGATCCTCCTCTGGTCCTAAAAGGCAGTTGATGGAAAGATCAAACACATTTTTGAACATATATATCATTTTCATAAAAGATTAAAATTCCTAGATGCTAGGAGAAACCACTCTGGTGGTGCCCTGACATTAGTCCTTGATACCTGTATTATTCTGAAGTCCCTCTCCATCATTTTCTTCTACTTTAGCTGTTTAACTCCCCAAAACAGTGATTCAATATAGAAAGGATTCTAAAAATATTAGTACTATACAGTGTTTATTATATGCCCACACTGCTCTAAGTACTGCATATACACCGATACTTTGAATCCTCAAAACTATGCTCTAAGGAAGGCACTGTTATTCTTCCTGGTTTTTGTGTGAGGAAAACGAGACAAGAGAGATTAAGGAACTTGTCCAGAGCCACACAGCTAGTCTTAGGTGCTGGGCTAGGAACCCAGATCGTCTGGCTCCAGAGTGTGTGCTCTGAACTCCTGGACTGTGCTCCCTGCTCCAGTGTCCGAGGAGGAGGAGGAGGAGGTGGGAGAGGAGCCTCAGAAGTGATTCTTCACATCACCGCCTCTGCCAGGAATCCTGTCCTATAGGTCACGTAGATAAAAATCCACTCTTCTATGTACCTACAAGCAGAAGACTAAACCTGATCATGTATCAAACTTCACACATAGGTGAGAAGAGCAGCAGTACGTTATTTGCCCGAGTTCCCTCTGGAAAAAACAAAACAAAACTTTTGTATGCAAAAGTAACGTATGCTCATTGCAGAAAGGTTGAAAATATGGGGTGACTTCCAAACTCTGAGCACTTTTAAAATTGTATGACTCAGCAACTTCTTCCCGTGAGTCTACATCAAGAAACATTTATACCACTTCTGTAGCCTTGAAATGAGTAAGAGCACAATGGCTGCCATTTCAACTATACATGACGATATGTTATAAAAGGTCTAGGATGAGGTGTGTGACATGTAGAGGGACACATAATGAAAATTTGTAAGATTCTAGAAATAATGGGGACAGTTCCTTTTAAAATTATTTTTAACTAGATTATTATAAGTAACTATGTCTAAATAAGCCTAATACCTGATCAATACATTCTTTTAATATAGAGTTTAACCCTGGGTCCCTCAGAAAAATCTTATCTGCATCACTTTATTTAGTGTTTTTAGTATATACTGCCCTAACTCAAAATAACTGAAAGCACTCAAACCCCAACGGTATAAAATGTCTTTCATATTTTCTATAAAGCTCTTTACTTTTTAATATTTAATGATGCTTATGTCTCTTTGTTATGGACTGAATTATATTCCCCCACTCTGTATGTTGAGGCCCTAAGCCTCAATGTGATGGTATTTAGAGATAGGGCCTTTAGGGAGGTAATTCAGGTCATAGGCTGGAGCCCTAATTTGATAGGACTGATGTTCTTCCAGGGAGAGGAAGAGACGCTAGGAGTGTGCACACACAGAGGAAAGGCCACATGAGGACTCAGCGAGAAGGTGGCCGCCTACAAGCCAGGAAGAGTGCTCTCATCAGAAAGTGACCCTGACAGTACCCTGATCTTCAACTTCCCACCTCCAGAACTATGAGAAAATAGGTTTTGTGTTTATGCCACTCAGCCCGTGGTATTTTGTTATGACAGCCTGAGCAGACTAACACCTTCTTTTACGTAATAGCAGAGAATTACCTGAGTTCAAGAACCCGTACCACTTGTCAAACTCACCGATGATGTAGGATGCAGGATCAAACTGGTCCCTGGGGCTCGAGAGGGTGGGAATGAGCCACGTCAGGGCGGCGCTTTTCTCACAATACTGGTCCTGGATGAAGCCCCTGATCTGAGCATAGTAGGGCTTTCCATCTTGTTCATCAATCACAGAAACGACATCTCCTATTTGGTAATATACTCCCTGGGGGAAATAGAAGACAATCCCATATTTGAAATAAAAACAGAAAAAAGCACCCCAGCTATGAACTGAAACCTCCCTAACACGAAATAAACAGTTTGCAAAGTGGTCAGTAAAACACTTTTAAGATGGTCCAATACATCAATGTTTATATGGTTGATGCCAATTCTTTTCTTTTTTTTTTTAGAGAGAGAGAGAGCTCAAGTGGGGGTGGAGGGACAAAGAGAGAGGGAGAATCTTTTTTTTTTTAAGATTTATTTATTCTATTTAAAGATTTTATTTATTTGACAGAGAGAGATAGCAAAAGAGGGAACACAAGCAGGGGGAGTGGGAGAGGGAGAAGCAGGCTTACCTGCTGAGCAGGGAGCCCAATGCGGGGCTCGATCCCAGGACCCCGGGATCATGACCTGAGCCGAAGACAGACGCTTAACGGCTGAGCCACCCAGGTGCACAGTGAGATTTATTTATTTTAGAGAGAGAGAGAAAGATAGCGTGTGTGCTCTCGTGGGGACTGGGAGGGGCAGAAGGAGAGGGAGAGAGAGTCTTAAGCAGACTCCATGCTGAGCACAGAGCCGATGTGGGGCTCAATCTCATGACCCTGAGAACAGGACTTGAGCCGAAAGAAATCAAGTTAGATGCCTAACCAACTGCACCACCCAGGCGCCCCTTTTTGTTTTGTTTTTTTGGGAGACAGAGAATCTCAAATAGGCTCCACACTGAGTGGGGCTTAATCTCACTACCCCGAGATCATGACCTGAGTTGAGATCAAGAGTGGAATGCTCAACAGACTGAGCCACCCAGGTGCCCCTGATGCCAATTCTAAAGTTGTTCACTCTTGAGTAAAAATTATACACACCCCTGAAAATGTGCATCTGGAGAAAACATTTGTTTATAAAGACACTTTGATTTCGTATCAGAACAATGTTATCCCTACAGCCATTGAGCTGTAGAAAGGGGAAGTGACTTTGCTGAAGGCTACTGAAGGCAGAGAACGCAGCTGGGGCTCCTTCACCAGCTCAGGGGTCCGTCTCTGTCCTGTATTGAAAAGCAGTGCTTACCCGAGGAGAATACGCTCTACACTCCTCCCTCCTCGGCCATCCATAAAGAAAATGGACATCACACATTCCAACCCAAAGAAATGAGAGAAACTCTTCTGATCATAACCAGTCTTCAGGATGGGTCCCATGCCATTCACTCTGCTATCCTCCCACAAGACAATTACCTGCGTTTCCAGCATTCACGGCTTCAGGTCTTTTATCCCTGCTCCACTTCGCAGCCAACTAACTCATCTGTCACGTCCGTGTCGAGCCCTCCCTATGACTCTGCCTCTGCCATCTGTTGCATGTCTCCTTCCCTAGGTCTTCAAAAGGAAATAATTTCTCCCTTGAGCATCCATAATGGCTGATCCAAATCTTTATGGTACTCAGCACTCCCTTAGGTGGGTGTGGTTCCTAGCCGGTGAAAGTGTCCTTGACTTGCAGGAACCAAGTGCGATTTATCACTGCTTCCCTCAAAACAGGGCCTTGGCAGCAGGTAAAGTGCTGGGGTGTGCCCTCAACCATAAAAATAATTCTGAAGAAATACTTCCAGTGAGTGGGCTATGACAGGAGCTTTTCCTGGTGGACCCTTCATCCATGTGTCTAAGGGCTACAGTTGCATCTGGATCACTACGGATCGGTAGAGTCAATGCGGGCCACAATCTGCTACTGGCTAGTTCATATCCATCCTCAGCTGGTCCTCAGAGCCACTACTCAACGTTCTAAGTTATTTGTCATATAAATTCTTTGCACTTACGGTTTGCTTTGTCTACACGTAGAATCATTATTCCCAAATTATAAATGATTAATTCATTTTTTTGTACAAAGAACAGGGCCTTGCTTATCATAGACACTCAAATATATGCTAAATGAATATTAACTCAAAATATATAATAGTGTGAAAATAGAACTGCAAGGCAAAGACAGTATCTTACTGAAAGATTCCAGGGGCACCTGGGTGGCTCAGCTGGTTGAGTGTTGGGACTCTTCTTTCCACTCAGATCATGATTGTGATCATGGTTGTGAGATTGAGCCCCACGTCAGGCTCTGCATTCAGTGGGGAGTCCACTTGAGATTCTCTCTCTCTCCCTCTGCCCCTTCCCCTGCTTGCTCTCGTGCTCTCTCTCTTGCTCTCTCAAATAAATGTATAAATCTTAAAAAAAAAAAAAAGATGCCAACAGCAAGCAGTACCTGGCACGTGGTTAAGTGATTATTAGCACATGTTGTGTTGTGCATGTATATACAGAAAGCACTAACCATGACTAAGGCACTTAATCTAAGGAGTTCCTTCATTTGCAGGGAGGTTTCAGGGCTGCTGGCAGAAAAGGTCAACTCAATATACTGAAGAACACTGAATTAGGAGTAAGCAGAGCTGTTCATGGGGCTCTTCTGCCACAAGGAGGCCATTCAACCCTTTGGGGTCTTGGGTGCCCATACTCCTGGCCGTCAGACCCAGTGGCTCCCACTCAGCTCCCTCTCGCATGCCTGATCTGGGCTCTAGTTCAGCAGATGGCAATGACCTCTTAAGTCCTCCCGCCCCGGTGCTGCGAGCAGCGGCAGCCTCTGTAATCCTGGGTATCGGCAACGTACCTGAATATTTTGTTGCACTTTGTCCTTACTGTCTAACAAACAGGGGTGGCAGACAGCAATAAGAAATACGGTATTTGTGGGGTGACTGGGTGGCTCAGTCTGTTAAGCAGTTAAGCGTCTGACTTCGGCTCAGGTAGTGATCTTGGGGTCTTGGGATAGAGCCCTCCATTGGGCTCCCCGCTGTGTGCCTGTGCACGCACACACTCTCCCTTTCTCAAATAAAGAAATAAAATCTTTCTTTTTTAAAGATTTTATCTGTTTGACAGAAAGAGACACAGCGAGAGAGGGAACACAAGCAGGGGGAGTGGTAGAGGGAGAAGCAGGCCCCCTGCTGAGCAGGGAGCCCGACGCGGGGCTCGATCCCAGGACCCAGGGATCATGACCTGAGCCGAAGGCAGATGCTTAACGGCTGAGCCACCCAGGTGCCCCAATAAATAAAATCTTAAAAAAAAAAAAGAAATATGATACTTGTAATAACAGGTCCCACACCTGTTCAAAGGCCTTTCGCCTTTTGGTTGAGACATGCCTGGAAATCATTAGTACATTAAATCCTTAGCCAAACCAGTTGCTTTTTTTTTTAAAGTTTATTTATTTAAGCAATCTCTACGCCCAACATGGACTTGAACTCACAACGCCAATGTCAAGACCTGCATGCTCTACTGACTGAGGCAATCAGGTGCCTCCCAACCAGCTGCTTCCAGATTTAATCTGTAAACTGCGTGTTCGGCTATGAGAGTGACACACACATCTGAAAACACGATGATGCCAATTCTACTATTCATTGAGTGCTTACTCTGCTGAGTGCTTGACATGAGCTCGCCTGAACCACTGAGGTGGCTGCTATTTACAATCCCTATTTTCTAGAAGAGGAAACACCAGAGAGCTTGGTCTCGGCCCAATCACACAGTCATTTGCCGGTGGGGCCAGGAGCTGAGCTCCACCATCACACTGCCTCACTCCATGACCTGCTGGCTACAGAATCTTTGACAAGATCATGCAGTTCTCTGTGCTTCACTGTCCTCATCCATAAAATGGGGATAACAGTAGCACTTCATGGAGTGGACTGAGTGAAGTAAAGCCTGTGTCATGCTCACCTCAGGGCCTGATGCACAGCAAGCGCATACTAAATTTAGCGACTTTATTTATTATTAACATGCGTGAAATGCTGGAAATACAGGAGCGGTGTTTGCCTGTGTACAGGCTGTTTTAGACTACACAGATTCTGGGCTAACAACAACAAAAAAGGTACACACAGTATCATACCTGAGTTTTTCAGTGTTTGGTCCACTTGGGTCAGGTATGAAGCACTAACTCCTGCCACTGCCCCCCAAAAGATAGTTCAGCCCCCAAGACATCAAGAGCATGTAATGGCTGCTGCCTGTGCCAGGCCCGCCAGGCTTTGGAGGCTGTTTCTGTGTTGCAACTGCTTTCCTAAGGCTTCTGGTTCAAAAATAACAATATGTCATGTCTCCCATCGAAGAAGCAGATGTCTGTGGGCTTTGGCTCTAGGAAAATGGACTTCCTCACTCTTTTATCAAAACATTTTGGACACTCTCTCACCATCTACTTCTAGTAGATGTTAATCCCCGCCACTGCCCTTATTGCCCTCACTTCTGCTTAAAGGCATTTTAGAATCTCTGTGCCTCCTCTACCCACTAGGTATCAGGTCTACACTCCCTCTACTCATCCAAGTCCCCACTCTGTGCTCCTCCCACAGTGACTGGCAAGGTGACTAGGGTGGCTCACTCTTTCAGGATGCCACACTATACCTTAGAATTTTAAGACACTTAAAATACTTAAAAATACCATGTTTCAATAAGCAACTACCCCTCCTACCTCAGCTCTGGATGAAATGTTTTATACCAGCCACCTACGAGGAAAACTAGCTTAGAGAAGAACAAAAAGCAATCACACATTATATAGAGGGGCAGAGGCCTTTGGACTAACCCAACATTTGGCAACGTATCTTATGACAGGCCCAAACCTGCCCTTAGTAACCCTACAGATGCTTACCTTGTAGAAGATTGATTCTGCAGTGATTATAGTGGAAACAGACTCAGGAGCTTTGATGGGCTAGGGGGGAAAAAAAAGTAAAAATATTAGCACATTCCGAGTGTGTATGTGTGTGTAGCGTATACAGGCATTTTCCCAGTCATCTACAAGAGTTCTGTAACTTAAGAAATACTAAATCTGTTGCTGGTTGACCAGAAGCACAATAAAAAGATAAACGATTTTCTGAATGTTGTGGCAAAGCACAGTCTGAGTATTCCTGTGGCTATTTCTGCTACCATCAGCTTACAAACTGCTGAGAACTAACGCACAAGCTGCTGAGATCTACCCCAACCGCTCTTGGAGCTTTATTACATATAACATTCCGGTTATAAACAACATCCTGGCTCTGAAGGCCTGCGCACGACAAAAAAAGGAAGTAATAAAAAAAATGTGTAGGTGAACACAATGTGAAAAAGTGTCTCCTTGAAGACATTTTCCATCTCAACTTAACTATGGAACTAGCTGGGATACTTGTCAGCAGAAGTAATTTTCTAGCAAGGCTGAACTAAGGTTATAGAAACTTCCTTGGAGTGCTTAGGCATTTGCCACCACCCAGCCAACACTGCAATCCCTTCTTAAGCTGTAATACACGCTTATATGCCACAACACAAAAACCAGGCCTTCCCCACATGTGTCTTGGTACCATCCTTGAAGAGAAGGGTTGCTAGAGAAATAGATACTGAAATAACTGCAGAGCATATTCTACCACACAGAAGAGGAAAACATGTGTGTAAATGATACAACTATAATCACATGCACATTTACTTAACGTGCTTTGTCAACAGGTGCCTCATTTTAAGAAAACTAAATTATAAAAGTCTTAAATCAATTAGTCAACTATTCTGAATAAGAATCTGCAGGCGGCACAAGAATTTACTACAGGGCCCCTCTGTGTTTCACAAATGAATACACCCAATTTCAGAAATGCCCGGTAAAGGAAGCATTCTTGTTCTAAAAGGAAAGAACACCATACTGAGGTTTAAAAAAGTAGTCTACAACGCACTGTCCGTTGTGGATGACCATTTTCCCCTTGTGTTTACAAAAATACTGAGAATTTACTGCAACAAAAGGTTCTTTCAACTACCCCCAGCACAAGTCTTTCAACCATCTAGTTTCTTACAGCAGCAGAAGGCTTAGCAAAATTTTTGATTCACATTCATCAAACTGATCATCATGTCAGTAAGATACTTTTTCTGGGGCTGTAATAACAAACAAATATGGAAATGAATGAGTTCCAGTATTATTTACTTAGATCTTTAAAGAATAAAAAAAAAATTTTCCCCCTAATATATCTGGCCATATCAAGAACCATAATCCCACCTCCTCCTTGCATGGAGGGCCCAATCAAATGCATTCAAGGTTTATGTTTCTTTTAGACTCATATTTTATATTTCCCAATGGAAAAAATTAAAAGCTAAAAAAAGAGAAAAAGGATATTATTAACTATAAACAGCAAGCCTCCTGCAACAGAGCTCACTTCCTTTTAAGAAGTGCGGACCACTCCCCAGAATACTGCAGAAAGGCTGGGAAAAGCAAAGTTCAGATGAGAAATGAAGGCACTGACAGGACACACTACACACACAATGCCATTACTGTAAAAGACACTGTCCACAATCATCTTACATTTTTTAATTTAAAAATATGTCTTCTCCCTTTTCCTTTAGTGGAAACTTTCTTTTCAGCAGCTGGAGCAGATTTGTATTTAGTGTTTCTGAGCCGAGCAGACCTCCTGTGAATTTCCTGCTTACTCTGTTACATAAACAATTAAAGAACAAAGATAAAGAAATAAAATTGTAGAAAGATTGCTGTCCCGATACAACCATCTTACAAGGACTTCAGAATATGCACTTTATGCTGACTTTTAAAAAATTAAGTAAGAATGTGGCTTTTCTTTTTACCCTGGGTAATCACAGGAACTGGGCTAATTAAAACAGGGAGGGCCCTAGACAAGCATCTCTGGAGCCTCCAAAAAGGTGTGAAGTACTTACAATAGGGCACTGGGGTAGGTGTACGAGTAAGTCTCGGCCAAGGCAAGAACTATTCGTTTGCTGTGTTTATAGTGGAGAACATCCCTTAACAACTCAACTCTCCAACCCCGGGGAGCAGGCTGGGTGTGGCACTTCCCTACAATGGAATACTTATGCTGCCATTTAAAGCAATGACATAATCTTACTTTATAACATGACATAATAATAAAATAACCTTTAACAGGGAAAGTAGGTCCAGTAACATGACTCCGTTTACGTGTGTGTACTGAGATGTCTGGATACTACCGCAAATGTTACTACAATGAGGGGGATTTCTGAAGGGTTTTAAATTGTCTTGCTTCTTTACACTTTCAATTTCTCACAATACCAAAGGCGCTTAGAATGGGCCAAGCCAGTGAAGATCTCATCGTGGGGCGGGAGCGGGCGGCCCTCTCTAGCACGGTCACCGCGATCCGGGAAGGCCCATGCGCGCGCTCCCTCCCCGCCCCGCCGGCCTCCGCCCACCCCACGCCCGGTCGGCCTCCGCAGCCGAGAGGCGTCAGAGGAGCTCACCTGCTTGCCGCCCCCGCCCCCGTTGCTCTGCGGAGGGGCGGCCGAGGTGCTGGCGAAGGTCGCCGCGCCGAAGCCGCCACCGCCGCTGCTGCCCCCCGTCCCGCCAGCCGCCCCGGAGCCGGCGCCCCCGCCGCCCGCGCCGCCCCGGCCCGTGCAGTGGTGGCAGAGGATCTCGCCCTGCGGGCCCTTCTTCCACATGGAGGACGATGTGGTCTTGCAGACGCTGCAGGTGGGCTTCAGGCCCAGTGGCATCGTGGCGGGCTCGGGCGGCCCCCGCGGGCGCAGCGACACGGGAATGGCGACCGCCGGCCCGGGCCGCCCGCTGGTCGGCCCGCCACTCCCAGCGACAGGAAGAGCGGCGCGGGCGCCGAGGTGTCCACGCAGGGACCCAAGGGAGGCCGCTGCCCCCTGGAGGCAGGAAGGCGGTTCCACCCGCTCTGCGACCGGAACAGCCCCGAGCGGCCCACCGCGCCGGGAGGCGGGGTCGGGGGCGGGACCTGGCCTGGAAAGCTTCCGGTGATGGGTGGGGCCTACGCCGCGCTGGCTCCACCCCCCGCGACCGGAAGTGCCCCACCTGGGACTTCTGGAAGTGGAATGTGGTTTGGATCTCGATCGCCTTCTGGGGAAAGATTTTGGCAAACTTTTTGGCTTTAGGCCTGGGATTGGCAGGTAGAATGCAGAACACCAAATTAAATTTGAATTTCAGACAAGGAATGAATAATATTTTGATAGGTGTGTATCCCATGCAGTGTTCTTTGTTTATCTGAAATTCGGATTTAACTAGGTGTGCTGAATTTTTATTTGCTAATCTGACACTCCGGCTGAGAACGCCTTTACAGTACTAAAAGTCATAATTTAGAACCCCCAATACTTTTATTTATATGGGTTGTATCCATGGACATTTATGCATTAGGAGGGGAAACACATTTTAAAGCCTACAATGTCAATCACACGTTCCTAAGCCATCATCACCGATGGGTGATGATGTTATCACAGGTCCTGTAGCCTCTGATGAGCACGCCAGTGAGCATGAGAGTGGAAAGGCAAACGACTGGTTTGGCCTAGACAAGAGCATTATGACAAGACAGTTCCCCTCTTATTAATGTCGCTAATGAGAACAGGCCTCACCAGGGAAAAGTGTCTCTTGCTTTTCAGCCTCACTTCATAGTGTAGTGGTAGCGTACCTGTTTTCAGGATCCTGGGTTTTCTAGACTTGATAGACCTGGAGACATCTCAATGAATATGCTGGTGGCATGGCCCAGGGAAAGAAAGAAAACTTGTATTGAACGCCCACGTTGTCACAAAATCTCACTTAGTGCTTATGACAACCCTGAAAGGAGTTACTATCCCTGTCTTATTGTTAACTGATGATTAACTGAGGGACCATGATTTGGACCAGTGGCCGACACAACCTCTGCTCTGACACCACATCTGAAGGCCCTCAAAGAGCCCTGGGGCCTGTGCTGTGGCTCAGGTATTCTTGCTCTGAGTCTAGGTTTCCCCAATAGTAGAACAAAATATTTACTTTCCAGGACCTTTATGGGGATTAAGACCAACTGTAAAAGTGGTTGAGGAAAATAGATAAGGACTGTTGTCTCGTTTTAGAACCATGCACTCTGTGAAGGGCATCTAGGTGGTAAATTTCATTCCCCCTAATGCATGTCTCCATCTCCCAGTGTATACTTCTCTTTGCACTTCATCCACAAATTACTCCTTCTCATTCACTGAGAACCTTGACCCGTGGCTCACCAGCTTCCTCTCCATCATAGGGCACCGTCCTGGGTTGGGTCAACATCCACATGTATGAACACCCAACACCCTGTTTCCTCCATTCCTCCTCGGCCCCCATCTCCATCTCCTGTTTTTGTCAGCTCCTGCAGCTTCTGGTCACACCCTCCACCCTTCTGAGATCATCAGGAAGAAGGCCACTTTTACCCCTTTTATCACAAAGTAACTCCAACCACCAAATCAAGAAATAGAACATTACTACCACAAAAGCCCCTACTTGCCCCTTACCACTATACCTGACTTCTGACACCATAGATTTTGTAGATTCCCTTTGTCAGGTTAAGAAATTTCCCTTCGATTTCTGTTTTCATCACAAATGTGTTGTACACATTTGGATGGAGGAGGGAGGAGGAGGAGGGAGGAGGAGGAGGGAGGGAGGAGGAAGAAGGAGGGAGGAGGAAGAAGGAGGAAGGAGGAGGAAGGAGGAGGAAGGAGGGAGGAGGAGGAGGGAGGGAGGAGGAGGGAGGGGGGAGGAGGAGGGAGGGAGGAGGAGGGAGGAAGGTTTTATCAAACGGTTTTCTCTATGAGATGATCATAATACTTATCTGTTAATGTGTTCATTACGTGGATATACTTCTGAATGTTAAATAAACATTGCAACTCCTGGAATGAACCCAACTTGGCCGTGATTTACTATCCTTTTCCCATATTGCTGGATTTGGTTTACTAATATTTTTCAGATTTTTGCATCTGTGTTCATGAGTAAGATGGGCTTATAATTTTCCTTTCTTGTAATATCTTTGTCAAGTTTTTCGTCAAGATTATGTTGGCCAAAGTAAAGACTTTGGATTACATTCTCAGTGACACAGGAAACTATTTGAGGCTCTTCTACGTGCGGAAATGAAAAGATAAAGGAAAGAAAGCAATTTACAGAACAATGTATAAAATACGATCACTTTATGGAAATATAAAAGCTGTATGTGTGTGAAGAATACTTGTTTTAGTCCTTCAGACAGAAAACTGTTGTGAATTGATTGTAACAGACTCGGTAAGGAAGACTTTCACTTTTCATTTTGTATTGTTTGAATTTTTTTCACAACATCATGTGTTCCTTTTATTTAAAAAAAAGAAAGAAAGGAAGGAAGGAAGAAAGAAAGAAAATATCAAATGGGAAAAGGGAAACACCGGCAGGTTTTCAGTCTTAAAAATCCTCTCCCAGCTGGAGAGAGCAGTGTATGGTGGCTCGGGTCTTGTTCAAGGACTGGCACCCGGACCTCCACATGTAGCTCGGGTCATTGTCCGTAAAGTGAGGATGGTATTGCCCACCTCAGGGCTGTGTGAAGATTTGATCTGTTCTCAAACTTGGCTCATAGTTTTAAGTCAGTAAGTGGGGCTTCTCTAAGCAAAGCCACAAGTCCTGTGCAGACCACACTAGGGTGTAACAGAGTGGTGTGCCATGGGGACAGACAGGGCTGCTAGGCAGAGAAGGTGATGGGGCCAGGGGTGGAGGGGCAAGTCAGGAGGTGAGGGAAATGGACGCGAGGAGAGAACTCAGGAAGGCAACTCAATGAAGTCTGTGACCCAATCCCCTGCTCCCTCACTGGGGCCTCAGGAAGAGCATGAGCCACAACTGGCCAGGCTGGGCTCCCTGGTGCCCAGGTGCCAGGGAGAGATCTCAGACTGAAACAAAGACAGAAAGAGAGACCAGCCTGGACACAGGGGAAGGGTTCAACTGCACAGAGAGACAGAGACAATCTGTGCCTGTGGGGGTACCTGAGAAAATTCTACTGTGTGTGTGTGTGTGTGTGTGAGAGAGAGAGAGAGAGAGAGAGAGCAAGTGTGTGCTGTGAAGACAGGAGTAAATACCTCCTAGGGTCTTCAAATTAACACCAAGGGAAAGGAAAAAGCTGAATTCCCCAGGGGTATCAGTGCCGCCAAGCAGGCTAATTTGCATGATTTAGGTGTTGCATGGTTCCTTAATCAAAACTCTTAAAATTAAAAAGAAGGGAGAGCAGATGCATAAAACATATCACAGCCTGGTTTCAAAGAGAGTACTATTCATCCCATTTTGTGTCCCAGTGGATATGGGCAGTGTGGGACTCCTTGAGCACTCATGCCCTTGTGCTGTGCAGCTCCGGGGCAGAGCCTGTGTCTCCGCTTACTTACCAGGCCGACCAGGACGACAAGAGCGGGCGCCTCACCAGGTCGAGGTGAGGAGTTGGTGAGTTAGTGCCGGTGAGGCTGTAAACAACGTCTACATTCGGTAAGGGCCTGATTGATGTTGATTCTGAGGCCAATAAGAGAGCAGGAGGAGGAAGCATTTTTTTAATCAAATTAGTCAAGTCACTGGTTAATAACCTCCTGACATCCAACCTTGGGAAAACGTTAATTAACTCAAATTGTCTACTGACAACAAACTAGGGAGAGAGATTGCGGTCGGGACAGAGGGTGAGTGAGACCCATGAAAGTGCCGGCAGGTGCAGGAGAGGGGAGCCCGGGCAGATAAGCTTGCTGACCGTCCCCTTTTTCATTCCCAGGAGGGACTTCATGATGTCCATCTCCCTCTGTGGACATACCTTCCGTGTTAGAACCTGATGTGATTACCCTGTTGTGCGGGTGTCCCACGGCTCCCAGACCGGTGCTCAGGGTGTTCCCTTTGCCAGGAATGTGCTCCCTCCCAACACTTCACACCCCACCCTGTCCTCTCCAGAATCGGCTCAGGACACACCTCCATTCTCCGACTCCCCGACGTAGCTTCCTCGCTCTGACTCTTCCCTCCTCAACCTCACGGTGTACCTTTGCACCCACGTCGCCTCCACGGGACAGTGAGCGTGCTGAGAACAGGAAGCTTGCTTTTTTTCCTCTTTGGGTTTCTTCCATGCCCCGCACACAGTAGGCACACACTGATGAGCAGTGTAGTGAGTGGGTTAATAGATCAGTCAGCCTGTTCTCAGCAACACTTTCCATTCAGGACAAGTGTCTGCTCCCATGCCTCTCCTTGCTGCCCTCCTACGTCGTCGTCTGACTTCTCTCACCCAACAGCCTGAATCAGGCTTCCCTGGCTCCTCACTGGCCTGCCGCCCCGGGTAGGCATCTCCCTATACCACGGTGGCGGGGGGGGGGCGTTATCACCCCGCAGAAAAACCAGTGCCTGCTTTGTCATAAACAAATCTTCCTTATTTGAAATAATTGTGCGGGTCTTCCTCCTGCTTGGGAGAAGGTGATGACGCCAGGTCTTCTGGAAGCCGCAGGACGCCTAGCCCACCTGGCGCTCCAACTGCCACTCCCCCCAACTGTCACTCAGAACTCCCCGCTTAGTCCCAGGGCCTGCCTGCCCTTCGGATGTCCGTTGGCTCCCGAGCCAGGGAAGCATTCTGAGACCAGGTGAAAGCCTCATTGTATGATTAAGGCACCGGCCAACTGTAGTTTCATGAGGAAAGCTTAGCTGCCGTTGATTTTTGTTTGTTTTTCGTTCCGAGTGCTTTGAAACTCTCTCACTGCCTCTCCCCCTTCTGATTTGCAGGACCGCCCGGGAGGAAACCAACTTGGGTACTCTGGCATCTTGCGGGGCTCCTCAGCTGCGTGTCAGGACAGTTCCCCTCAGAGGAGCTCCAGATTTTACCAAAAAGAGAAATATTCCTTTTTCTCTTCAAAATGTAAATATCTTCTTTAATATAAATAATAAATGCTCATTATAAAAATTCATACAACTCAGAGTGTGTTCCCCAGCTCTGCAGAGTTAGGGATACCCATGTTAACCCGGTTTGTCCTCTATCTCTTCAGCCTCTGGAAATGTGTATGTGTGCGGTGTATAAAACATGAGTGTGATCCTACAACGTATTATTCTCTACTCTAGCTTTTTTTATTCAAAAGTGTGGAGTGAACTTCTGACATGAATCCATATATATACATATATTGAACTTTTCTTTGCCAAAATCAATTTAACCATTCCTTAATGATTGATAGTCTGTTTGAAAATTTTTTTTTGCAGTTACAGTGAATAATGTAATGAGTTTCCTTATATATGTCTCATTGCCTATTTGTGTGGGTATTTTTATGGGGCAAGTTCCTGAAAATGTAATTGTTGGGCGTAAAGTGATGCACATTTTGAATCTGATGCTGCCAAACTACTGACGAAAGAAAGGTTTACACACCTGCCAACTCCTTGAGGTTTTCTCAGGGCTGACTTAGCCCCCTGGCACAGTAGGCACATTGCCTAGGGTCCAACGTACTTTTAAGGGTCATGAAAATACTTCAATTTCTTTTAAAATCAGTAGAAAAGGGGCGCCTGGGTGGCTCAGTTGGTTAAACGACTGCCTTCGGCTCAGGTCATGATCCTGGAGTCCCGGGATCGAGTCCCATGTCGGGCTCCCTGCTCAGCAGGGAGTCTGTTTCTCCCTCTGACCCTCTTCCCTCTCATGCTCTCTATCTCTCATTCTCTCTCTCTCTCTCTCAAATAAATAAATAAAATCTTAAAAAAAAAATAAAATCAGTAGGAAAAAAGTGAATATAATAATAATGAATAAATAGTGTACAATGAATCCAGTCTGGATTGTATTTTTTTCATTCCAGTGCAGCAAAAAATGCACATGTAAATATTTTTTTTATAGAGAGGGGAATGTCTGTAGGACCCCCACGAGTCGGAATGTGGCCCTAGGTTATCCATTTCTCTACACCCTTGCAACTCTGAGAATTAGCTTTTTAGTTTTTTGGGGGAAAAAAGTACACAATTGTTTTTATTGCATGGATATTTGTGAGGTATTATCTCCTAAGTTTATTGAGCACTTAAAGTTCCCTTATGAATTGTCTATTTATATTCTTTTTTCATCTTTCTAAAGAGTTGCTCATCTTCTCCTTGTTAAAAGGTTGTTCTTACAGTAAATATTGCAAGTTTTATTTTCACAAATTTGCATTTCAGAGTTATTGGCATCTTTTGTAATGATATTAAAAGTGCTTTTTGTACACCAAATCTGGCAAGGATTTCCAAGCATTCTTACAAAGGCTTACAAAAATAATTGTTGATATTTTCTTGTAGAGTATCTATGGCTATTATTATTTATGATAATATCTTTATCTGGAATGCATTTTTGTAAAAGATGTGAAATAGTTATTGAACTTTGTTTTCTAAGCATAACTACTTGTTCCAACACTATGGGACAATAATTTGAAATGCCACCTTTATAAAAATTTTTTTAAAGATTTATTTGAGACAGAGACAGAGAGTGAGTGCAGGGGGTGGGGCAGAGGGAGAGAAAGAGAGAAGCTCAAGCAGACTCTCCTCTGAGCACAGAGCCCAACGTGGGGCTCGATCTCATGACCCCGAGATCTTGACCTGAGCCGAAATCAAGAGTCGGACACCTCACCGACTGAGCCACCCAGGCACTTCCCTTTATCAAACTTTAAATTCTCATACACATGGGTCTATTTCTTACATCTCTTCCATCCCATCGGTCCATCTATTGACATGCTACAACCATACTTTTAATCCTGTAGCTTCATGATATTTTGGTTTCTAATAAGGTAAATCAATACTCCCCAGCTCCCCATAATCCTTCTCTTTCAATTTTCTTCTTGATTATTCTCATATATTTACTCTTTCTGATGAACTTTAGAGTTATGTTTTCAAGTACTGAAAAAAAATCCCAGTGAATTTTGCAAAATTTAGAGGTTAATTTGAGGAGAAGGACATCTTTGTAAAATGGAGTCTGCCTCTCCAAGAGCGTGGTGTTCTGTTCAGACCTTCTATTTATGCCATTCCCGAGTGGGGTATGGTTTGACCAAGCCCTGGCCCTCTCAGCAATCTTCTGTGGGGAAGCAGGCCAGCAACAGGGGCTTGTCTGAGTCTTCATGTCCCAGTGAAGCTAACGGGGGGCTTTTCTCTGCCATTTTTGGTTCATTTCGTATTGGTTTTCTAAGAACTGTGCTCTGCTCCAAAGCACAGTGGCAGAGCCACCATAACCTCTTACCTGGATTTCTGGTCTCTTTGCTTCCACTTTTGCTTATTCTGGCCCTTTCTCCACACTGTGCCTAGTGCAGTCTTTTTTTTTTTTTTAAGGTTTTAGTATTTCTTCATGAGAGACAGAGAGGGGAGGGAGAGAGCACAACCAGGGGGGAGGGGCAGGCAGAGGGAGAAGCAGGCTCCCCGCTGAGCAGGGAGCCCAATGCGGCAGGGGCGTGGGGGGCTTGATCCCAGGACCTGGGATCATGACCAGAGCCGAAGGCAGATACTTAACCGCCTGAGCGACGCAGGCGCCCTAATGCAGTCTTTCTAGTCAGATCCCCTGGTCCCCTGCTGGAGTACCTTCAGTAATTCTCCGTTGTATCAGTTACCTATGGCTGTAACAAATCACTACAGACATAATGCCTTAAAGCAATACAAATCTATTCTCTTATAGTTCTGCAGGTCGGAAGTCCCAAATCGGTCTCCCTGGCCTAAAATCAAAGTGCCAGCATTCGGATTTGGAGGTGCTAGGGGAGAATACATATCCTTGCCTTTTCCAACTTGCAGAGGCCTTCTGCATTCCTTGGCTCATGGCCTCTTCCTCCATCATCAGAGACAGCAGCTCTGTCACTTGGACCTCTGCTCCTATTGTCATCTCTCCTGTGACTCTGGTCCTCCTGCCTCCCTCTTATAAGTATGATCATAAGGATGGTTATGATTCAGTTGGGCCTACCCAGAGAATCCAGGATCCTATTCCCACTTCAGAGTCCTTAGCTTCATCACATCAGCAATGTTCCCTTTGCCATGTGAGGGGCATTCACAAGTCGCAGAGAGTAGGGTGTGGACATCTTTGGAGGGCCATTCATTCTGCCTACCGTGGCCATGGCCTTCAGGATGAATTTGCTTGCCGGTCCCTCACTGACCTGCCCTAACTGGCCCTCTGCCTAGCCTCATTCTGCTCTGGAACCTGCCCTCTCTGCTTCTTCCCATTCTGGTCCAGGCTGACTCCCTGCCTTGGAAAACCTTTCCCCATCTCTTCCTCCTACTCATCTTTCAGCCTTGGCTGAAACTTCCCTTTCTCTGGAAGCTTGTGACAGCCTCTTCTATTTCCTACATTTCCCTCCAGATGTTATGAGGGGCTCTCGTTATCATCTTCCATTGTTCCTGACCCTGCTTAATTTGGCTTTCATATTATTGCTTGTTTATCTTCTCCTCCAAAATATAAGCACTTTGAGGGCAGAGGTGATGAGGGGAGCTCCACACCTGGCACATAAAAGGGAGTTTATGAACTCCTTGCGGATGAATTTATAAACATATTAATTTCATTATAAAATGCAAGTTAATTTACTCTATAGGCCTCATCTTAAAAGTAGTGGTTCATCACTCACGCAATAAATATTTGTTAAGTACTGGCTTGGTAAGTCCTGAGCTAAGGGAGTTAAAATTAAGAAAACATCGTTTGACATCAAAAACTAATGATGTAATGTATGGTGGTTAACATAACAATAAAAAATTATTAAAAAAAAAAAAGAAAACATCGTTTGAGGGGTGCCTGGCTGGCTCAGTGGGTACAGCATGTGACTCCTGATCTAGGGGTTGTGAGTTCAAGCTCCATGTTGGGCATAGAGCCTACTAAAATCTTAAAAAATTTTTTTAATAAAAAAAAATAGAAAACTCATTTGAATGTTACAAGGATGCTAAGATTGTAGTGGTATGAGCACAAGGACTTGAATAACAATTCTCCTCCTCCAGGAAAATGGACTTGGAGGTCAGTGAACCAATAGACTTTAGTTCTGGAGATCATCAGCATCTGGTTCGGAAAGCAGCAGATAGTAACGTCCAGATCAAGTCTGGTCAGTCCTACACAACTTCGCCTTCTGAGCCACAAAAAACTCGCGGGAATCCACATTCAAAGATGAAAGAGCGAGCGGATAGCTATGTGGTACAAATTTCAGATGAGACCACCCCAAATGACAGCAATAATTTAGCCAATCCATTCTCAGATTCATCGGTCCGCAGAGGTGAGCATAAAATTACCTTTTTGGAAGAGAAAAGCAAGCGTTCTCTCAAAATGCTTTCCCAGAGTGGATTGTTAGACGCTTTAACTTTGCCTTTAGTTTTTCCCAGTTACACTTTACCATGAAACATATGTAGGGCTGCTGTAGTAGGTGGTCCCTTAGTTGTCCAGGGTATTCAGAAATTCATAATAAACATATTACGGTAAACAATGTGTGGTTCCCTGAGGAAATATGAATTACCCACTGACTGTAGAATGTTCTTACCTCCCTACAAGGTGATGCCATGATACTGACTTTAGTTTTAAAGCATATTAATTCAATGCCCCCTAGATATTAATTCTGTATGGGAAATACATTCAGCTGTGAGCAATAGAAACCTAAAAATCTGTGGCTTCAATAAACGTCTTTTTTCTTTCATGAACTATGCAGTTCAAGGCAAATGCTACCAGTCCCCTGTGACCACTCTGTCATCCTTAGACCCTCTTAGGACCTGGACAACTTAAAGGTGGACTGTGAGCTTTGAACCCCACTGCTGTCTCCCTGTGGCCCTCACTCCCCATCTTGTGGCTGGAAAGATGCCTTTTGGAGCCCTAGTCTTCCAGGTAGGGAAAGGCAAAGGCAAAGAAAGGCTAAGCCTAGTCTGCTGCCTCGACAACTCCAAGAGGTGCTATTCATGGACAGATGCCCGAGAGTAAGCCAAATCTGACTTCTTTTCAGAGGCTTTCCTAGAAACCACACCCAAGAATTTCCACTTGCTCGTCATTGACCCTACCAGGATCCCACGGCCACCTCCATCTGTAGTTTTTTTAGTTGGGCCCATTGTCCTCTTTAACCAGGTTGGGGTTGGGTGGTGAGGAAGCCAGGGAGGATGGATGGCACCACATGAGCCACCTCTGCCCCGGTGCCAGTCCTTCAGCACCGGGTGTTGTGCGAGAGGAAGAGTTTTGCATTTAGTCCTTCCAACAACCCTGTAAGTGAAAGCATTGTAGTGTCATTTAACACATGAGGAAATCAGGTTGAAGGCCTCCCCACCACTGTTAGAGTTAGTTGCTTGCGTCTGTCTCTCCTGTAGGGCAGAGGCTGGGCCCTCTCCCACTTTAAAAAAATTAATATAGTATGCAAAAAGATGAAAGTCTTATGGAAACAAAGGAAAAGTATAGCAGGGTAATGAATGAAAAGCTATGGGACTGGGGGTCTATCATTATTTGAAGCAGCTCTATACAATTTACATATCATAAAATTCACCCCTTTTAAGTGTACAATTCAATGATTTTTAGTATATTTACAGAGTTGTGCAACTGTCACCACAAAAAGAAACCCATACCCATTGGGGTCACTCCCCATCCCAACCTCTCCCCTGGCCTCTGACAACCACTAACCTACTTTCTATCTCTATGAATTGGTGTATTCTGGATATTTCATATCAATGGAACCAAATGATATGTGATCTTTTGCAATTGCCTTCTTTTACTTACACTTAGCATAATGTTCAAGGTCCACCTGTGTTGTAGTATGTGTCCGAACTTCATTCCTTCTTTATGCTCATATAGTATTCCATCGCCTCATTAGAACCCATTTTGTTTATTTATTCTTCAGTTGACAGACATTTGGGCTGTTTCCACTTTTTGGTTCTTAGGAATAATGCTGTGATCAATATTCATATTTGAGTTTTTGTGTAGACATACGTCTTCATTTCTTTTGGGTAGTAGATACCTAGGAATTGCTGGGTTATATGACAACTCTGTATTTAACATTCTGAGGAATGTTAAACATAGTGGCTGCACCATTTTACATTCCAACTAGCAGTGTAATGAGGGGTTCTGTTTCTACATGTCCTTGCAACACTTGTTATTGTCTGTCTGTCTTCTTATAGCCATTCTAGGGTATGTGAGGTGGTATCTCACTGTAATTTTGATTTGCATTTCCCTAGTGACTAATGATGTTGAGCATCTTTTCACAAACTTATTGGGCATTTGAATATCTTCTTTGAAGAAATATCTATACAAATCCTTTGCCCACTTTTTAAAAACACAGGAACCATTTTATTATCTCTCATGATTCTGTGGGTTGACTGGATTCAGTTGGGCAGTTCTTGTGCTGGTCTCGACTTGGGGTTCTAATGCAGTTGTAATCAGATGGCAGCTGAGGCTGAGTGGCCATTCTGACTCCTTGACATGGCTCGAAGTTGGTGTTGGTTGTTGGCTCTCTCATTATGACTTGAGTCTCTCAGCACTTGGGAGCTGGGTCCCAAGAAAAAGTATACCAGGTAGACAAGCCCCATTGTGCCAAGAAGTTTGTCAAGCCTTTCCAGGCTTCACACATGCTAATGTCTCACTGGCCAACACAAGTCATGTGGCCAAGCCCAGTGTCAGTTGGAGAGGGGCACTACACAAGCTCTGTCCATTTTTAATGATTTATCTTCCTGTTATTGAATCGTGAGAGTTCTTTGTGTATTCTAGGTATAAGTCCCGTATCAGATACATGGTTTGCAAATATTTTCTCCCAGTCTGTGGGTTTTCTTTCACTTTCTGATGGTGTCATTTGACGCACAAAGCTTTTACTTTTGATGAAATCCAATTTGTCTGTTTTTTTCTTTCTTTGCTTATGCTTTAGGTGTCATATCTAAAACATTTATTGCCTAATTTCTGCTCACAAAGATTTACATCTACACTTTCTTCCAAGAGCTTTGTTTCTTTTTTTTTTTTAAAGACTTCATTTATTTTAGAAAGAGAGAGTGTGCGAGGTGGGGAGGGAGGGAAGGGCAAAGGGAGAGGGAAAGCAGATTCCCTGCTGAGCGAGGAGCCCTGATGTGGGGCTTGATCTCAAGACCCTGAGATCATGACCTGAGCTGAGACCAAGAGTTGGACACTTAACAGATGAGCCACCCAGGCACCCCAAGAGTTTTGTTTTTTATACTTACGTTTATGATCCATTTTTAAACTAATAATTAGATTTTGTGTATGACGTGAGGAGGGGATCCAAATTCATCCTTTGGTATGTATATGTCCAGTTGTCCCAGCACTTTTTTTTGGAAAAGACTATTCTTTCTCCCTTGAATTGTTCTAGCACATTTGTTAAAAATCAGTTGGCCATAAATGTAAGGGATTATTTCTGGACTGTCTATTCTAGTGATCTTATGTCTAGTCTAGTCTTATAAGGCTGGGCCACATCTAATATTTATTCCCTCACAGTCTCTGATATATAGTAGATGTGCAATAAATGTTGACTACATGAATATTTTAAGGTAGGCAGCCCTCATTGGGGCACATATGTTCTGGTATTTTAAGATAGCTCAATCCCATTTCTTTGTTGTCACCCTTCCAACGCATCAACACCACCTAGCCAAAGGACACAGTTGACAACCCTGTCAGTCACCTCTAAGCAGAATTTATTTTTTCTTTGAAAATTGAGTCAAAGCTACCAAACAGCTCACTGTCATCATATTCAGCACCATATTCAGAGGGCTCCGGGAAGAGCTGTGCAGGAGGAAGGAAGCAAAAAGAGACACTGACATCCTCTGCACTCAGCTTTGGCATGCTGCTGGGACCTCCTTGGTCTTACTTATGATTCCTCATGTTATCCAGTTTCTGCTCAAGTGGAAGGGAAGGGAATTGCTAAAGGGAGGCAGGCTGGCGAGAGAAGTGGTGGGAAGGCTCTGCGAACGCCCGGCAGCCCGCATCTGTCTCTGAGGACTAGCTGCCCTCTCTACCTGCGCTCCATTTCGTCCACAGGTGGACCCGGACCCCTAATGATGGCCCGCGACATCCAGGGACTTTCAGGTCACTTTTAGTCCTAAGGAGGATGGGGTGTGCATAATAAGGAATTAAATTCCTGTTTGTCTTTTAGATTTTGGGGCTTCCACAGATAAACCCTCAGATCTCCAGTAAAATACCTGTGACAATCCGAATGGGATACTTTCCACAAGGTCTGCAGAGCTGGATCTCTGTTGTTATTCCATCTGCTGAGTCTAAACTAGTGCTCCTTTTCCCCTCCTCAAAAAGTCAGAGGAAATATTCTTTCTGTTAAGTATCAAAAATAATTACATTTCTATTTTTACTTTGGAATATTGTGTCATGAAAATAATGTTTCCGTCTCTTCAGCTTTCATTATCAAAGTGTTCCTGATCCTGTCAGCTCAGCTGGTGGTCACTGGGGCAATTGTCAGCCTGTTTCTTTTCTGGTAAGTCTTTGTTACTGATGTAAATTAAATATTAAGTTGTTCACATTAATTCTTATTGAATCGACTCGACTTAATTCTGATCATTAAACATTATCTATTTTCTCTTAATCATCCATAGGATATGATATTTCTATAGCTTTGTGGTTTTTTTTTTTTTAAGATTTTATTTATTTATTTGAGAGAGAGAGAATGAGAGATAGAGAGCATGAAAGGGAAGAGGGTCAGAGGGAGAAGCAGACTCCCTGCCGAGCAGGGAGCCCGATGCGGGACTCGATCCCGGGACTCCAGGATCATGACCTGAGCCGAAGGCAGTCGCTTAACCAACTGAGCCACCCAGGCGCCCAGCTTTGTGGTTTCTGAGGCAACTCTTAGACCGAGGTGTTGGTAGATTTCTATGGTTTTGCTTCAACTTCCTAAGCCCAGATCTTTTTGTCTTACTCTTATTTGGGGCACTATTTCATTTTCTATTTCCCCTGAGCTATTTCCACAGATAAAAGTGGATAAATGGAAAAAAGGTGAGATTATGGAGGCTTTGGAGACTTGGAACGTGGTTAAATGCAGAAATTATTTTGGGGCTATGATCCATCACTGCTTAAACTTAGCCTATGAAAATCTCTATTTACAAAACAGATTTATGAGAAGTTGGCATTTTTTTTTTGCTTTGTACACCTAGAGACCTCAGTATTTTTTAAAAATAAAAATGTCACCAGGACATGTATATTCATACAAATTTGACTTACATGACTGTCTTTTTATGAGTCTATTTTAAGAAGCAAGGTATAGTTCTAGGTTTCATTATTTCACTCCTCATTTGTCATTGTCAATCATTTAGGATTTACCCCTTTCTCATGAAACTGTTTTATTTCTACTTAAGTATTACATTAAACAATTTGTTGTTTAAAACTATATTAATTTTTTTTTTAATCAGGAAGGGTTTAAAATCTTGGGTGCTCAAGAATGCCTGGTTCACCTATGCAATCTTGTAAGTATTCTTGGATTTCATAAAAAGTGATTTTTCTACCAGCTACTGATTGAGTTTCTTTATTAAAAATTAAGTAAAAGTTTAACATTCTGGAAATGACAAAATTATAGAGATGACAAACAAGCAAATCAGTGGTTAGTAGGAGCTAGGGTATGTGTGTGTTTGTGTGTTCCCATAAAGGGATGGCATGAGGGAGATCTTTGTTGATGTTTTAATGATGGGATAGTTTCAAATCTTGATTGTGGTGCTAGTCTGTGCTATGACACAGACTTGTGTCATAGTTCTATGACATAGCATTATACACACATTGTACCAATGTCAAATTAATGGTGTTGGTATTATCCTATATATACGTAAGATGTGACCACTGGGGGAAACTGAGTGAAGGACACATGGGACCTCTCTGTCTTTTTGCGACTTCCTGTCAATCTATAATTATTTCAAAAGTAAAACTTAAAAAATTCTATGGATGGCAATGAGCAAAGTTAGTTTTAAAAGCTAAAAAAAAAAAGCAAAGGTAATCATCTGCATATATTTTTGTTTACTTTATACTTAGTATCAGATAACATATAGTAACATATCTCTATCCCTATTTATCTACCTATATCATATGATATAATCACCGGAAGCAAATAACACGTGGCTTTAAATTACCCTCAGGCCGGCATTTTTTGTTGTACTGATTGTACTTGCTTGCTGCGGGAAACTCCGCCGCCAGGTGCCTGCGAATTACATTCTCCTGGGATTATTTGTAAGTAGACTTTGTTAGCACTCCTTGTTGCTTGCCTCTGAAATCTATTCCTGTCACATTAGTAATTCCACTCCTTTTATTGTGGAAAATCTTCCTGTGGAATAATACAGATAGTATTTGTGAGATGTTCTCTTGGCTGGATTCTGGTTGTAACGAAGTCATAAACTTACTTATGAGACAGTATCCACACCCCTTTACTGAGAGGATCTGGAGACCCTGGGCAAACTTGCCTTGAAAGGCCACACGGGGGAGCCCCCTCAGAGGCTGCATTTCAGGAACAGCTACCTTGACTGTTTCTGGCCCTCTGCCACAAACCCATTTTGTTATGGGAAGTGGGTTTCACATTTGGTTCACAAACTCGTGGGTGAGAAGTGTAATTTTCCTTATTTTTGTAAGATTTATCTTATTTCTGTTTCAAGTCTCACCGGGAGCAGAAACCCATCTCAGCGCAGCTTCTCCCTATTTCCTCACCTTGCATCTCAGTTCAGGAGAGTTGGGGGCTGGGGGGCTCTAGGTCCTTGGCTCTCCTGTCCTCACTTATGCGTGGTCTAGTTCCCAGTTCACAGCGCCTCCCGTGGGGCTTCTACTCACAAGGCCTCGCCACATTGGTCCTTTCTCTGTGGATCAGTGCTGCTCTGGGCCACAGAAAATGTGTGGCTCTTTTTCTTGCCGCCAGTTCCTTTCCCTGCTGCTCACAAGGATTCCAGGATTCTAGCACCCACCCATTGTGAAGATTTACTTACCAATTGACTAATTCTTCATCTGGTTCCACATCAGATTTGAGAGAGCTTATAAAAATACCCACAATATAAGAAGATAAGATAACTTGGTGGGGGAATCTGATGAAAGGAAAAAAAATAAGGGTAGGAAAATAAAGCCAGTGGTTAGATTGTATACAAAATGCATAGTCCTACACATGCTGAACAGCCAAAGCAGTTTTGAGAAAGAGGAACAAAACTGAAGGTGTCACAATCCCAGATTTCAAGATCTACTACAAAGCTAGAGTAATCAAAATAGTATGGTACTGGCACAAAAACAGACACATAGATCAATGGAACACAACAGAGAGCCCAGAGATAAACCCGCAACTATATGGTCAATCAATCTTCAATAAAGGAAGCAAGAATATACAATGGAAAAAGGACAGTCTCTTCAACAAATGGTGCTGGGAAAACTGGACAGCCACATGCAGAAGAATGAAACTGGACCACTTTTTTTTTTTAAGATTTTATTTATTTGACTTTGACAGAGAAAGACACAGCAAGAGAGGGAACACAAGCAGGGGGAGTGGGAGAGGGAGAAGCAGGCTCCGGGCCAAGCAGGGAGCCCAATGCGGGGCTCGATCCCAGGACCCTGGGATCATGACCGGAGCTGAAGGCAGATGCTCAATGACTGAGCTACCCAGGCGCCCCTGGACCACTTTCTTATACCATACACAAAAATAAACTCAAAATGGCTTAAATACCTAAATGTGAGACCTGAAACTATAAAACTCCTAAAAGGAAACATAGGCAGTAAACTCTTGAACATTGGCCTTGGCAATACTTTTTGGATCGTTCTCCTCAGGCAAGGGAAACAAAACCAAAAATAAACATTTGTGACTACATCAAATTAAAAATCTCTTGCACAGGGAAGGAACAAAACAGAAAGGTGACCTACTGAATGGGAGAAGATATTTGCAAATGATATATCTGATAAGGAGTTAATATCATATATATGTATGTACTATCTATCTGTTCATACAAATGAACACCAAAAAAATCTAATAAAAAACGCACAGAGGACCTGAATAGACATTTTTCCAAAGAAGACATACAAGATGGCCAACAGATGATCTGCTCAACATCACTAGTCATTATGAAAATGCAATGAGATACCACCTCACACATGTCAGAAATGACTACTATCAGAGAGACAAGATATAACAAGTGTTGGTGAGGATGTGGAGAAAAGGGAAGCCTCTTGCACTGTTGATGGGAATATAAATTGGTGCAGCTGCTGTGGAAAATGGGATGGAGTTTCTCCAAAAATTAAAAAATAGAGATACCATACGATCTAGTAATTCTACTTCTGAGTATTTACTCAAAGAATGAAAACACTAATTGAAAAAGATAATGCACCCCTATGTTTATTGCAGCATTATTTACAATAGCCAAGATATGGAAGCAACCTAAGTGTCCATTGATAGATGAATTGATAAAGAAGAGATGGTACATATATACAATGGAGTATTATTCAGCCATAAAAAGAATGAAATCTTGCCATTTGTGACAACATGGATGGACATAGTGGGTAAGTGCAAAGTGAAATAAGTTGGACAGAGAAAGACAAATATCATATGATCTCACTTATATGTGGAATCCAGAAAACAAAACAAAACAAATGAACAAACAAAACAGAAACAGACTCATATATAAAGAGAACAGACCGGTGGTTGTGAGAGGTTGGGTGGGGGGGGCGGGGAATAGGAGACACAGGTGATGGGAGTTTGGTACAAACTTCCAGTTATAAATAAGTCACAGAGAACGTAGTCAATCCTGTCATGATAACTTTGTATGATGACAGATGATACCTCACTTATTGTGGTGAGCATTTTGTAATGTATATAATTGTCAAATCACTATGTTGTATACCTGAAACTAATACAATATTGTATGTCAATATACTTCAATTAAAAATTTAAAAAAGTGCATCGTCCTACACACTTGAGTGTGATAAGCGTGGATTTGGGTCTGTGCCTTCTGGTGGTCAAAGAGAGGAAGGACACATGCCAATGGCGAGATTCTCAGCATCCATATAGTGCAGTGTCCAGTGTGATTTCTATGTTGGGAAGAAGAGCTTCATCCCAAGGCTGGAGAAGACTAGCTCTCTGATGCTTACATGTGGGCATTTCCTTGGCTGCCAGAGCATTGAAAGGCCTCTCTTACCTGGCGTGGATACCCTGCTCATTGCTCAGGGGAGCAGGTGGGTTCTCCCAGTTCCTGCAGAGACCACACTCAGGAAGAAGTGGGGGCTAGAAGCCAGACACAGAAAGATATTGGGAATCCTGGAGCATAGGCAATAGGGTGGGGAAGTTGTTTCCAAAAACTTCCGAATTTTTTATTTTAAAAATTTCCAAGAAAAAAAATTAAATTATTACAGGAGATCAAAGTTATTGGTCTCAAAAGAAGCTCTCATCTCTGAGGTTTTGTTGTGTATCCCAAAGCAGGTAACAGCTTAAGAAAATATTATAGAGGGCAAAGAATTAGTTATATCTTCTAGACTTTGTCTTGACTAAGATTAGGAAAAATATGGAGAAAACCATTTCAGAAAAGGAGTTGAGGGAAAATGAAAACACACACTGAAGACAGCTTTTGTCGCATAGCATTTAAGCCCCTGGAGCCCATGTTCTGCGCTCTTGAAGCCATTAGATGGGTTTGACTTCTCATTCTCCTCTTGGGAAAACTGAAAAGTGGTTTCCTGCTTTATTTTTAAGATTTTTATTTATTTATTTATTTGGCAGAGAGAAAGACAGCGAGAGGGGGAACACAAGCAGGGGGAGTGGGAGAGGGAGCCAAGCAGGGAGCCAGAATCCTGGGATCATGACCTGAGCCGAAGGCAGACGCTTAAGGACTGAGCCACCCAGGTGCCCCTGGTTTCCCGCTTTAAATCTTTTCCTCCCCCTCCAACCTGTCTTCCTCCCATCATCCTCTCTCTCTGTCTCTCTCTCTCATACACACACACACACGTGCTGCAAAAGATGGAGAAATATGCAGCAATCGAGCAAGTAGAAGAAGAAAATCTTAAGAGGAAGGTTGGAAGCAAGCACATTTTTCAAATATCACGTGTACATGGAACAGATAGAGCTTTTTAAACCTATACTGGAAATAAAGACAGCTCTGGTAAATTTAACAAAGTAGAGAATCATGCAGCTACTCACTGGGCTTGGGACACGCAGAGACGCAATCCAGGACTCTGGGGACCGCGGTCGTTCTCCTCTCCTATCCTGGATAACGTTGGCCAGCTGGAGAAGCTCAAAGCCGCTCTAGCAGTCCTCGCCCCGCGGTTAGGCTGCGTCTTCATTTTTACTCCCGGGCACTAGCGGATTCTCTCCTGGCTCTTGCCGCGGACTCGAGGGTGAGCCAAGGCTCCGGACTTGCCTCTGGTGGAGGCGCCCTCCCAGCTGGGGAATGTCAGGCCCTTCAGCAACTGTTCACTGTTGTCGCACTCCACCTGTCTGCTGCTGGAGCCCGACTGTGCCCCTGGGGCCATCCTTGTTGCCTTCGTTGGGCTCCTCCTCTGGCTTGAGCGCCTCTCTCGCACACGGCCCCGCCCCGGCTGCGGCCAGCACGTGGACACTCTCCCGCCTTGTGCAGCCCCAGTGCAGCCGGCTTCTGAGCCCGAGACTGACACCTACGGGTGCAGCTCCACGCGCAGTGGAGAACTGCCCTCGAGCCCCATCCCCTCCATCCTCCTCCCTCTTCTGAGGTCTGAAGCTTTTAATTCCCACCCAAGCACTGTAGAAAGGGTCCGTACTGGGGCTGTTGGCAAAGCATCAGTGGAAATAGCATATCCTGCTTTGATAAATTAGGATTCTGTGTGGTTGGCGCCATGGGATTAACGGCAATATGGTCTAGAGAAACCTTTTATTACGGTTTCGATATTCCTACTGAATGCATCTTTAATTCCCTCAGTACGTTGAAAGTTACTCCTGCGTTTTAAGAATTTTTACTAATAGAAGAAGCTTGTCAGTCTTGGGAATGTTAGGAAAACGTTTAGTTCCACTATTTGTTTCCCGTAATTAATCTTCCCGGTAGTTTGCACGCTAGCGTTATTTGCACGTTATCCGCGCTGCCACTCGCTCCCTCGACCCTGCCAAAAACACCCGCCCCTTAAACCATCTCCTCTGGCTTCTGCGCCTCGGGAATTGGGGTTCTGATTTACTGTGCATTTTGTTTTCAGACGGTTCTTCAAGGTCTGCTGCTCGGAGCCGTATCAGTGTAAGTCTTGGATACACATTTCCTTTTCCGTGCGTGCTTCTCGTATGTATGTGAACAGTAATCACAGTCTCTGCTTTCAGTTTCTATAACGCTGAGGAAGTGTTATGGGCAACAGCTGCAACCGCTGTGGTGACGTTAGCCCTCACTCTGTTTGCTCTTCAAACAAAAGTATGTATCCCCGGAACCGACTCCCGTCCTAAGAGAGTGTGTGGATGTGTGTTCCTTTGCCGCTGCTGACCCACTCTTTCCCCTCCTCCCTCCTGCTCACTGCTGTCCTGCGTGGCCTCCCCGCCTTCTGGCGTCTGACTTTGCTAGTAACCACGTTAAAAAGGCCAAAAAAAAAAAGGACCAGGTGAAATTAATTTTAATCATATATTTTATTTAACCGGATATATGCAAGGGATTACCATTTCCGTAATCGCTAGAACAAACATATTGAGCTATTTTACATCCTTTTTTGAACTAAAATTCAAATCCAGTGTGTGTTTTAAACTTACAGCCCACTTCACTTGAGCCACCCTTCAAATGCCCTCCAGCTGCAAGTATTGAATGCACCGCTGCAAACTTTTTTTTTTTAAGATTTTATTTGAGAGACAGCAAGAGAGGGAACACGAGCAGGGGGAGTGGGAGAGGGAGAAGCAGGCTCCCCGCTGAGCGGGGAGCCCGTGCGGGGCTCAATTCCAGGACCCTGGGATCATGACCTGAGCTGAAGGCAGACGCTTAACCACTGAGCCACCCAGGAGCCCCCAAACATTTTTTTTAACAGCCATCAGAATCACCTGGAGGGCTTGCGAAAACAGGTTTCTTGGGCTCCACCCTGGGGTGGCGGCTTCAGAAAGCCTGGGGCGTGGGCCCAGTAATTTTCATTGCACGGCTGATGCTGATGGTGCGGAACCACCCTTGGAGACCTAATACTTCAGATTACTCTCTTGGTGTGCAAAGGATAGGGAGTGAGGGGGGAAATAGAGGAAGTAGGAAAACGCTCTGACAAAATATCGGAGATTCAAGGGTCTTCTTTTGCTGCATAATCTTACTCAGGTCAGAAGATGATATTCCCCTTCCTTTAAAAGAATCCTCATCTTTTGGGGGCACCTGGGTGGCTCAGTCAGACCTTTGGCTCAGGTCATGGTCCCAGGGTCCCGGGATCGAGTCCAGCATCCGGCTCCCTGCTCAGCGGGGAGCCTGCTTCTCCCTCTGCCTCTGCCTCTCCCCACGCCTGTGCTCTTTCTCTCTCTGACAAATGAAAAAAAAAAAACAAGAATCCTCATCTTTCCCAGGCTGATTTGGTCCCTTCCCTGATTTATTAAAAAGGCAAAACCAAAAAGCATATTAATAAATTTCAAAATTACAAAAGAATCATTAGCAATAATTTTTGAAAGCATAGTGTATTTTTATTAAAATATATGCATACAAACACCGAAAAGGTGCCCAGTTAACATTGGTCTATTTCATTCCATTACTGTATTCTATGCACAACACTTTTAAAGATACGAATAATTATGATCATACTATACATACAAATTTACATCCTACTTCTTCAGTGTACCTTTATTAGGGGAAACTTCATATAAATACAAAATAGAATAGTATAACAAACCCTCATGTCTCCTTGGCTCCTGTGATTTCCTCCATACTCTGACCCACTCCTCCCTCCTGAAGCAAGTTCCAGTCAACAGCACACTTTTTAATGTAGCATTTTTCCGTGGTGGGGCAAATGGATTTCCATGGTTCTCAGAAATGTCCTGGGTAAATTATTAACAAACGGGTCAGTGTCTATCTATGGGTATAAAATGCATCTCTAAACATCCTGAAATTCCTTATAGATGATAACTGAGTTATTTTTGTGTTGTTTCCTCAGTGGGATTTCACCATGCTCAATGGAATGCTGTTTGTTTTACTCTTCGTACTTATTATCTATGGAATTCTCTTACTCTTCATACGATCATATGTAAGTGGGATCTCGTTTGGGAACCTCAGAGAATTGTTAGAAATGTAGGGTGACGTGCCGGTTGTGTTGGCCTGGATCCTCTGAGAAGCAGACCTGAAATGGGTGAAGCACGTGAGGACTGAAACAGGAGAAATGTCTCCGGGAGGAAAGGGGCCGGGAAGCCGCTGGTGGCTGGAAGACCTGTCTGACCCCAGTAGCGTATCTGACACGCCAAGTGAAGGAGGGGGAAGGTGGGTGGTGGGAGCCTTCTAGACAGGAAGTCAAGGCAGGTTCATCAAGGCCTTCACGGGGCCCTTGAGCTAAAGTTGACTGCGCTCTTGTGTCTCCCAGGAAGGGCTCTGCTGCTCCCCAGTGACTGAGATGTGGCAGCCAGGCCCCTCCCCGGAGCTGGAGGTCCATGAGGCCTGTCCTTGTGGCTGCCCAGTGTGGTGTGGCTGGGGCACCAAGAACGCGAGGTGTGGGGCATGAAGACTGAGCTCCTTCTCTAGACCACAGATGTCTTTCCCTCAGAGGGTGTAGGGGGTGAACCTCCCCACGGGGCGGATCAAACTCCATCTCCTATCCTTAGGTGCTGCTTGTTTGAAGTGATAGGAGTGGAGATATGGGCTTTTTCAGACTTTCCCCGACAACAGCCTAGAGGAGGCTCCTTGTTTTCCAGTTCCAGCTTTGCTTGCTTGCTTTCCTTCCTTTCTTCCTTTTATATCTTCATTGACTTCTTACTAGACACGAGCCTGTGGTTTTCACATAGGCATTACATTGAATTCTCACGACCTTCCTGAAAAGTACATAGGTCATCTACTATATAGGTAAGAAAACAGGCCCAGAGAAATTAAATAATTCCTCCAAGTCCACACAGGGAGTACATGGTAGGGGTGGGGTCAAAGCCCCATCTGTGTGACACCAGTGCCATGCCCTTTCCAGCACAGCGCACCGTCTGTGGGTGGAGGCTGCAGGGCGTGTGGGGCGGTGGAGGCATAGCATCTGGGCCTGTGGCCTGGCTGTCATTGGCCCCTGTGTGGAGACAGGCAGCCAGGTCCACTGAGGACTGGCCTGCGGCCTGTGACGTTTGGACTAAAGCCCTAAGGCCAGCTTGGCCCAACTGCTGAATCAAAGAGTTTCTTTGATAACAAGTGGACTTGTTCAGTGATCTTCAGACGTATAACCAGCAGTTCTGCCTGAATTGGTTTAGCTTTATGAATGACCGTAGAGACTTACAGCTAGGGAGATAGCATCTATATTTTATTTAAGTTATTTTAATTTATGTTTAGCATCTATCTTTTAGAGATAAAAACTCAAAGATATCACAAAGACGTGCCTTAAAAGGCCACACAGCTCTCCAATTATTATCATGGATGGTAGCCCAGATATTGGTAGTAATAATCCAAATATTTATTAGGTTGGTTCTATAGGTCTTTACAATACCATCTAGGTGCACTTAAGGAACTGTGTTTCCTACTAGATAGATGAACCCCAGTTCCCACTGTAAACTTCCTTTCACAAATATCTACAATATATAATCTTACACACACATTTAAACGGAAGACTTTGACAGAATCTTGTTGTAAGTATACATGCTTGTTTGACTTGGGCAATTTTGAATTCTTCAGACTCCAGTAATCAGGTGTTTTCTTACTATTAGCTCAGTCCAGAAACACTGCCCCTCCCACACTGTGTCACTGACTCCTGATTTATGTCCTTCACCAAGAATCTTCCCCAGTTAGCAGAATGCTCTCTTTATCTAGGATGAGCTTTCTTGTCCTGAAAAGTGAATGGCATGATTTTTCTCATATGTTATGCACCACCTCTTTATCCTCTCCCTTATGTAAAGCCAACCCCTTTGGCATTCAGATCAGTCCTGTATTCTGATCAGGGCTGTTTTGGTTGCACGGAACAGACTAGCTTGAGGCAAAGACCCAGGGGATGTTCATGGAACTCCTAGGTAGGAAGAAGCAACAAGATTCACAAAAATGGAAATCCCCTCCCCTTCCTCTCTTGGGCTGAGCTGACTGGCCAACTCTATTTGGCTATAGTAATAGCTTCAGCACTAGCTGATGATACAACAGCCTCGGAATTTCTGACTGCCCTGGTGCATTTGTTTGATACCAGTCACCTATAAGGTTTCTGGTCAGTCAAGAGAGTCACTGCTGTTGGAGTGGATGTCTTCCATCTCTTGTCAATCAGCTCTAGCTAGGGTGCCAGAGGGTCACTATTTTCCCAGAGCCACCTGTTCCAAGAGCTGAGTGTAGGGGCAGGTGCTGGAGAAGGGCTATGTGATGGTGCAAAAAGTGAAACATATCCAGTATGTTCTACTTGCCCTACCATGCATGAGATGTTTAACACTTACTTGATAAAACTGATTTGGCAAGGGTGGTTTTCATTTGTTGGCTGAATGGAATGGAGTGGATGCTGTGGACCACGATGTTCAAAAAGATGAATTTCCCCACAGATTTGTCTTTCCGTAATATTGGGTCCTTATCTGACAGCAGTGACCCAGGTGAGACCTTTCATTATTCTGAATCTTGTTCTTAACATAAAATTGTTTCTTCTCTTTGCAGTGGTTGCATCTGTTGTATGCTGGCCTTGGAACTATAATCTTCTCACTTGTAAGTCCATTTCTCCCTCACTTTGACAAAGTGCATATGGTATCTGCATCAACAGTGCCCCTAAGCCTGTGCTAGCCCCAGAGTCTAGTAGAGTCAGGAATCTACTCAAAAACCCTCCGGGAGACTTCTCCCTCCTACGCCTCCCCCTCCTCCTTTCCCTCCTGTGCTGCTTCTTTTTCTTTATAAAGACAATTTTTAGAGCACTTTTAGGTTCACAGCACAATGGAGAGCAAGGTAGGTACAGACGTTTCCCGCCCCCGTGCCCCCACACATGCATGGCCTCCCCCCGATCAACATCCCCCACCAGAGTGATACATTTGTTACATGACGAACCTACACGGACACATCACAATCACCTAGAGTTTACATCAGACTTCACTCCTGGTGTGGCACACTCTCTGGGTTTAGATAAACATATACTGACATGTTCCATCATTATGACATCACACAGAGTATTTTTTACTGCTCTAAAAATCCTTTGTGTTCCACCTTTTGATCCCCACCCCCCCTAACTCCAACCCCTGGCAACCACTGATCTTTTTCCTGTTTCCAAATTTTGCCTTTTCTGGAATGTCGTATAGCGGAAGTCATCTAGTCTGTAGGCTTTTCAGAACAGCTTCTTTCACTTAGTGATGTGCCCTTAAGGTCCCTGTGTCTCTTCGTGGCCAGATAGTTCATTTCTTCTTAGTGCTGAATAACATTCCATTTTCTACAGTGCCGCCGTTCATGGCTCCGTCCACCCACTGAAGGGCATCTTATTTGCTCCCATGTTTTGGCAATTTTGAATAAAGCTGCTATAAACATCCGTGTGCAGGTTTTTGTAAGTTTTCAACTCCTTTGGGTAGATACCAAGGAACATGATTGCTGGATCGGATGGTAAAAGTATGTTTCGTTTTATAAGAAACTTCTAATTTCACCGTTTTGCATTCCTGACGGCAATGACTGAGAATTTGTTGCTCTACATCCTCACCAGCATTTGATGTTGTAAGTGTTCCAGAATCAGCCATCAGTGGTATCTGATTCTTTTTAATTTGCATTTCCCTTATGACATATGATGCAGAGTATCTACTAGTGGTGTTTATTTGCCACGTGTATATCTTCTGTGGTGAGGGGTCTCTTAAGTTCTTTGGCCCATTTTAAAATCAGACTGTTTGCTTATTGTTGAGTTTTAAGAGGGTTTTTTTTTTTTTGTATATTTTGCATAACAGTCCTGTATCAGATGTGTCTTTTACAAATATTTTCTTCCCTCTATGTCTTGTTCTCTCATTCTCATGACCTTGTCTTTCACAGAGCAGGAGTTTTGAATTTTAATGATCTCCAGCTTATGCATTATTTCTTTCATGGGTTGTACCTTTGGGGTCATATCTAAAAAGTCATCACCACACCCAAGTCATCTAGGTTTTCTCCTATGTCATCTTCTAGGAGTTTTATAGTTTTGTGTTCTACATTTAAGCCAGAGATCCATTTTGAGTTAATTCTTTGAAGGTGTAAGCTCTTTGTCTAGATTTGGGTTTTTTGCACATGGATGTCCAGTTGTTCAAACACCACTGGTTGAAGAGAATGTCTGTTCCATTGTCTCGCCCTTGCTCCTTTGTCAAAGATCAGTTGATTATATTTATGTGCATCTAGTTCTGAGCTCTCCAGTCCGTTCCAATGATCTATTTGTCTCTTCTTTCACCAATACCACCCTGTCTTACTTACTGTAGCTTCATAATAAGTCTTCAAGTCAGGTAGCATCAGTCCTCCAACTTTGTTCTTCTCCTTCAGTATTGTGATGGCCATTCACACACACTTGTTTAAAAAAAAATGTAGTCATACTATATAGAATGTTCTGTCTTGCTGGTCCGATGGTAGTGGGTTCTCAGAACCTGTTAACACTAAAGTTGGTATACAACCCCCCCCCCACAGCTAAATTTGGCCCTAAAAAAAAAAAAGAAAGACTATTCTGTCTTTGCTTTTTCACTTAAAAATAATGGTCTCCACATTTTAGCAGACATGGATTGAGTTCATTCTTTTTTAAAGGCTGCATGATATTCCATTTTATGCTTTTATCATGTCACATATTTTAGGTTTTCTCTTTATTTATGTTTGGCATTTCCAAACATACCCGGAAGTAGAGAGAATGGAGTAATAAACTCCACACATTATCACCCAGCTTAAAAATATCCACATTTTGCTTCAGTGTGTTCCTTTTTGTTAGAATTATGTCCCATTTTCAAATGTCAGAAAAATTTAGACCAGGAGGCTAATGTTACATATGTACATTTCAGTTTTCTCACTCCTTCTGCTGATATGAAGAGAACTGACTTGTGCTCATTTTCCTTTACTCTTTTGCTCTCATCCTTTGCATATTGATGCCTGCTTTTATATCTCTTGTGTCCTGTTTTCAGTCATAGTTTGTTTCCATGCAAAAGTACATTGGTGTTTCTCTTTCTGGAGGCAGAACAAATACTTTTGTAGACTCAGACAGGTCTGCCCAACACTAAACAAATAATGGGAGAGGGAAATTGAAATTTTTTTCAGGGAGGTGGGGAGGGGATGGTTAACCATGAGAGCTGTAGGGGTGAGGCAGGGTGTTATCCCCAAATGCTCCTGGGGGTCTGAATCCCAGCTCATCTTAGTCTCTCACTTCTGTCTGCTTTCAAAAACATTTCACCTGGGAGATGCACTCCTAACCACCAAGACGTGTCTGTGAAATAATTAGAAGTTATTACCCTCATATAAGAAGAAATAAGATAAAGTCAGGAATTCTTGGAGGAGAGGAAGAGAGAAAGTGCTTCTCCATAGAAGTCAGGACGCCAGGGTGATAAATAAAGGCTGGAAGCTCAGCTGCTGGGCAGCCTGTTTTCTAGGGTGACTAACTGTCCTGGTTCGCCCAGCACTGAGGGGTTTTCCAAGGACACACTGGAATGACTGGTCACCCTAGCTTATCCCCCGCCCCCCGAAGTTGCTGGAATCCGTCAGAGGGAGAGGGGAGCAGTGAAGAGAAGGGACTCAGTGTCAAGGTGAGGCACCTGCTTTGGCATCCTGCCCAGCCTTGGGTTGGACTTCCTTCTCTGCCATTCACCACAGTGTGATTTTCTCTTCTTGGAGGCTTAATCTCCCCTGCCTCCACCAGGTGGGTCACATTTTACATGAGATGATGTCTGTAACGAGCTGGCATGAAGCTACCCAGGAGTGCCCACTTCCTTTCCTCCTGCTCTGCTCTCCCTTCCTCCTTATCTCTCCCAGTCTGAGTGGCAACCGGGGCCCACGGAGAGCTGATACCAGAATCACTTGGGATGGGTCTTACTGAAGTGGATATTGTTGTAAACAAATTATTTTAAAGCATCCTTAAAACCCCAAGAATTCTCTATAGTGCCAGCGTTGATCTGTCTGGTGGGGCTCTGTGGCTCTGCCCCACAGCACTAGACTCAGTCTAGAGTCTGGATACAAAGAAGTGAGGGGCCCCTTGTTTCCTTTTCCTCCTCTAATGTACTCCTGCTGCCCGGGGCTGCTCACCTGGCAACAAGCACAAGGGCAAGAGGGCTCCCTGACTTTTTCCTTGATGTTTTAGGAACTCCTAATTTTACCTACTGTAGCTGAGCTAAAACATTTATTTTGGGAAATATTTAACCATATACAAACCCCATCTTCCCCTCCTTCTATTTTGGAAATACCGACAGCATCGTAAAACCATCGCAATGTCAAGGTTTGAAAAACACTATCATCCAAAGCCCCAGGAATTCAGAATTATTGCTGTGTGTGAATCTAAATGTCAGGGACCATCTTTATCTTTGTTCTTTGTTCAGCAAGAACGTGTGGGGAAATCACAAATGCAGGGAATTTTGTAGTTGATCTCTGTGTCCAATCGTTCCACCTGGTCCACCTCATTGGCTAAAGGCCCAAACGTTTCCGCATTTGGAAAGCAAAAGGAGGCTTATGGACTTGGTGCCACTGTCATCAGGAGGATGGAGCACTTGCTGTAATAGATAGACGACACACTTGGGGACAGAGTGAATGGTTGAGGCTGTAAAAAGAACATATATAGCCACAAATTGACTTTCTGCAATATATTTGCTGATGCTAAAATATTTTTTCCAGGTAATTTGGGATACCTACTTGATAGAAATGTACAATTTAGGTAGCCAATTCTTCTTTCTTTTCTTTAAGTACTTGGTGATGGATGTACAGCTCATGGTGGGAGGGCGCCACCATCACTCTGATCTGGACCCTGAAGAGTACGTTTTTGCTGCCCTGAACATCTACTTGGATATCATCAACCTCTTCCTTTTTATTTTGCAACTGATTGGACTGGGACGGTAGTCAGAGGGCCAAGACTGGTTCGTGTTGAAAAGAGGGAAGGAGGGATGGCTGTGACATGTTGCCTGGGTCAGACATGTGGGGGTTACCTCACTTCATTAGCCTTTTAGTACAAAAAAATATTTAAAAATACTTATTTTTTTTTTTTTTTGTCAAACGAAACCAAGCATTCAGTAGATGGTAGCTGTAGCTATGATATTTTTAGTTCCACTGTCACATTGCAAAACTTTCTGGGGGACACTTCTGATTTTCATAAATTCAAAAGATGAGTATCATAATTACACACTAATAAACATTGGCAAGATGTCCATAACACTGTTGAAGTGTTCCAGGCAGTCTTTAAAGCTGTAAACAACATCTCTGTACATGAATAAATTTGATTACAGAAACCTATATTTACCCGTTCTCTTTTCTTGGACATTCTTGAATATTTTGGCACCTGACTTTTTTTTTTTTTTTAAGAGTAAGATAAACTAAAGAATTCTGCCTTTTCCCTGTATTCCAGGGTCAGACTGGAGAGAATAATAGCATCCACCTAGTAGGGGTTACAGAGAATTAACAGAGTTAATGTACATAAAGGGCTCAGAATAGAGTGTTAGCTATATTGTCACTGTCTCACCTATATTTCTGGGCTTAACTCAGCGACCACCTCCTCTGGTTGTCTGGAACAATGAAGAAAATGATCTTAATTGTGATAAAATACTCATAACAAAATTTACCATCTTAATTATTTTTAAGTGTACAGCTCAGTAGTGTTAAGTACATTCACAGTATTGTGCAACCAATCTCCAAAATGTTTTCATCTTGCAAAACTGAAACTCCATACCCATTGATCAATAAGAAGTCTCAACATTTTCCATGACATTTTCCATTTATTTATTTATACACATCTTATATAACTGGTTTGATTATGTTCCTGAAGGTCATAGATTAGACAGATCTTTATATCCCTCCTGGAGTCTCATACCTTGTTGGTGTGAGATGCCTGATGAGAAAATTCTCACTGAGATATATAAGTTCAACTTTCAAATCCATCCAAAGGAACCTATGGCTACATCCTTGCCTCACCTGTTTCTAATTCCAAGTGTTGGTCCAGCCAGTCTCTGGTGCTTGCCCCAGCAGGAAGCTTGTAAGTCATGTCTGCAGGATGAGCAAAGGCACGAGGCAGGCCTTTGGTGTGCTTCAGGTGGTTCAGGGAGGGAGCTGGAGAGAAGAGATTTATGTAGAGGGATGGTTATGCCAGATGATGGAGGACCTCAACTTTCAGGCTCAGGATTTCAGACCATCTTGTAGGCATAAGATTTTGATTGCAGTATCATGGTGAAGGCACTGCTGTAGGAGAATTAGTCTGGTGGGTTAGGGTAGAGAAGGGAGGTGTTAGAGAGGAAGGCTGTATCAGAGCTAATGCAATCACATACAGTGAAGGCACTATAAGAACAGACCTGGGATGATAAGTGGGGTAGAATGAGTCAATCATATGTGATCTTGATAATGGACAAAAAAGGTTGATGGAAGTGGATGTCTGATTGGATGACTCTTCAGGGTAGGGGAGAAATAAGGATGTCCCATATTTACTGTGGGTAATTGTCACTTACTAAAATAAAGCCGTCTTAAGAAAGAGGGAAATGGCTTGGGGAGAGTTGTGATGTGATAAAAGGTTTAGATATTTTGAATATGTAGAAACAGGAAATGTGAATCTGGCAGTTTCAAGAGCTGAAGCTTGGGGCTAGAGGTAACTGGGGACCATCACCAGCGAGAAGTGAGGCAGGGAGAATGGATGAAACAGTCAGGAATGACATACATAGGGGAGTCCAAAGACCAAATTCCAGAAATACCAGTAATTAGTAGATGGAAGGAAGAAAAAGAATATGGGTCATGAAAACAACAGTGAGAGGGTAACATTACGGAGGCTGGCAGAGCCTTTCAGGAAAGCACTGGTGAGGTGTGGCTATAATTCACTTAGGGCTGTGATGTCTCAGAACATTAAGAACACACAACACTGTTTCATTAAATCTACACCCAAAAGTCAAGCAAGTCACAATAAAAGCAAGAGCAAGCCCAGTGGATTTGACAATGACTGGATCACTGATTTGGAGGGACAGAGAGGACCAAGTCCAGACTTCACGGAGGCAGGAACGGTTATCGTGGCAGGGGAGGCCAGACCCCAAGAGAGAAGTCTGGTTGCTTCACCTCTGGAAGGAGAGAAACGGCAGAGGCAGGTAAAGGGGGGACATTTTTTACTTTTTGGTTTTTCCCTCTCCAGGACAAGGGACATTTGGGGCATGTTTGAAGGCAGAAGGAAATGAAGGTACGAGAAATGGAGAAAAATCCTAGTGAGTAGGGACAGGAAGAGCCCCAGGGCCCTTTTTTCCAAAACTGGAGAGAGGGATTGGAACACGTACCTGTGGCAACCTCTTTTGAAATGGAGGGGAGATGTGAAGCAGAGGAAGTAGGGTCTGCAGAGGCCATGCTGCAGAGATCAGGACTCAGAGAACAGCAGAGGAGGTTTGATCTGGCTGCCAAGGGTTGTGCATGCGGGAGTCAGCCTGAGGGGACTGGGAAAACTTCCTCATTTATTGAAAGTATTTGAGAAAAGAAGGCTGTGAATGAGGCAGATGAACTTTTCCAAATAGACACAATCAAGAGCAAAGAGTTCTAGTTTGGGAAACTTTCCAATGACAGTGGATTATAATTCTGTGATGACTGCAGATCATAATAGCATAATTCTTTCATCATCAATCTGAAATGGATCAGTTAGCCAGCAGTTTAGATTTAGGCGAGCGTTGTCTGTACAATTTTTTTTTTTAAGATTTTATTTATTTATTTGACAGAGAGAGACACAGCAAGAGAGGGAACACAAGCAGAGGGGTGGGAGAGGGAGAAGCGGGCTTCCCGCCGAGCAGGGAGCCCGATGTGGGGCTCGATCCCAGGACCCTGGGATCATGACCTGAGCCGAAGGCAGACGCTGAACTACTGAGCTACCCAGGCGCCCCAGTGTACAGTCTGTTTTTGATGCTATGGCATTGCAAATTAGACAAATAGAATAAAATAAAATAGAATCTGATTGAAAAATCAAGGCTGTGGGAATAAAAACTTACTGTGAAAGGAAGTTTGTTTCCTTCCATTGAAGAGGTTAGTCTTGGTCCTCCAGAGGTCCAAAGTTAATCATAAATTAGGCTAACATGTAATTGAAGTGAACCTGACTGGGCAAAATAATTTGCAAATACCACCTGTTTTCTGCTGGGGCCAGACATTTGTCTTGCAGCTTTTCTAGGATTCCTTGCCATCCTAACCACTGCTTTAGAAAGTTTCTGCCATTTCCTTGTCTCCTAAAGGAAAACCAGGTGCCAGTAGGGACAAATTTTGAGTGAGCTGAACCTTCAACGTGCAATTCTGAAATTCTTAGTGGGGGTGTATATCTCTCAAATTGCTGCAAGCCAAGCCCCAGACACCTAGAAGACCCTTGCCCATCCTCCCATCTTTTTCCTAAATTGTAGCCAATTGGAGAGATGTGGAACTGAGGAGAGCCTGGAGATAACAGTGGACTTAATTTCAGTTAGAATCTCCAGAGGTTTGCTGAGCCAAATTCCTTTGCCTTCTTTCCAGTGATTCTGATTCAAAAAGCTACCACTTGTACAAAGGGAGGTAGGTTACTGACATGAGATTAACCTGTTACTGCCACAGAAGTTAAGAGATGCCCAATGTGGGGAGAGCTTCACTGGAGAAAGAACAGACGGAGCCTAGATCAGAAACTATACAGTAAACCAACAACAAGCACAGAAAAACTTTGAACTGGATCTTGAGCAAAATGAAGATTAAAGGCCATACCATATAAAGGAATCTTACGGAGATGGGGTTGGGGGGAAAGCAAGCCTGCTTTGGAGAAGGGTCTTACAGGGAAAATATTATCAAGGTATTAAATGCCCTGGTACCTTCTCCTAATATAAACATTATACATATGGACAGTTCATTTATACCAGAGTTCAGCAAACTAAGGCCCCTGAACCAATCTAGTTTGTTTTTATATTAGAACACACCACAGCCATTCATTTACTTATTGTCTATGAATGCTTTTGTGCTCCAACAGCAGAATGGAATAGTAGCCACAGAGACTGTGTGGCCTGCAAAGTCTAAAATATTTACCAGCTGGATTTTTACAGAAAAGGTTTGCCAACCCATCATTTACATGATTACAATGTTAAGATCCTAATAGATGAATTGACAAGCACAGCATGTTTGAAGTAATATTATTGAAGTATAAAAGCTATCATAAATTGCTTTGGGAAGTTATGTTTTTGTTAACTACCAGATACGCATAGTTGAATTTTTGAGATTTCTGCTATGTATAATATATACATGCAGGGAATGCTTCTATATATTCTCTCTTACAAATATAGCACCTGGCAAGTGTAGGAAATTTTTGGTTTCAAGTTCTACAGAATTGACTCTATAGGAATCACTATAATACTTCATAATAATACAGTAATTACGTAAATTCTATCTCAAGCAATCTATTTGCTCCCAGGGAAGCCTTTTGAGTCTGAACGCCTTCAGTATCTGGCATGCCAATGAGAAGGGGCTGTTTCTAGCATGAATCTCATCAATGGTTCCCAAGTTGCAGCTCATAATGCACTAATTGTGCAGGGGGGGATTAGATGGTCTCTTCTGGTCTCTCTAGAATGATTTACCATAAAGCTTCATTTCTAGATTTAACTGAATTTACAGATCTCAAGTAAGATATTTGAATTTTAAGTACAAGCACTACAGTCACATACACCTGACTTTTTGGTAACCTGTTATTTCAGATTAGCCCCTACCTCCATAGTAGAGTTTCTTATTGGGTTTATAATCTCTGATTACTTACCAGCAAAGTCCTGAAGATGGGCGTAACCTCCGAAATATGAGCAAGTAGAAGAGAAAGGGACTTTAAAATCTGGGAGGACCCTCTAAAGCTCCTGGGTCTGGATACATTAACAAACATTGCCATGTGTGTACCTGCCAAAGGCTTTGATACCAGAGTCCTGGTGAATTAATTCCATAAAAGAAGAAAATTCAGCTGGGAAGCTTGAGGTTTTGCATACTCTCCTGGCATCGAGAAAACCTTCCTGTATATAACAGGGACATG